TGAACAAGATAGCATTAAAATCATAAATATTCACAGAACATTAAAAAGAAAGATAAAAACATAAAATCCCTCAGTTGTATGCACAGCTAAACAGCACAGTTTTTAACCTGGTTTTAAACATTGTCAGAGAGGAGGCCTGTCTCACATCTTCAGGAAGACTGTTCCAGATTTTAGCAGCATGAATCTGAAAAGCAGCCTCCCCATGTTTAGTTCTGACTCTGGGCACTAACAGGAGTCCAGTCCCTGTGCTCCTCAGAGTCCGGGCTGGTTCATATGGGACTAACATGTCACTAATATATTTTGGTGCGAGGCCATGGAGAGACTTGTACACAAGTAGAGCTGTTTTAAAGTCTATTCTCTGAGCCACAGGAAGCCAGTGCAGAGACCTGAGGACCGGACTAATATGGTCGTACTTCCTGGTTCTAGTCAGGACTCGAGCTGCTGCATTTTGAATGTACTGCAGCTGTTTTACAGCCTGTTTGGACAGACCTGTGAGCACTGAGCAGGCCATTGCAGTAGTCTAACCTACTGGAGACAAATGCATGGATAAGAATCTCCAAGTCTGCTTTAGACACTATGTTTTTGATCCTGGCAATGTTTTTCAGATGATAAAAAGCTGCTGATGTTACTGATTTGATGTGGCTATTAAAATTTAAGTCTGAGTCCAGTATTACCCATAGATTTCTGACCTTGTTTGAAGGTTTTAGGGAGAGAGACTGTAGGTGACAGATGACGCTCTCTCTTTGTTTCTGGGGACCAAAGACAATCTTTTCAGTTTTGTCTGCGTTTAGCTGAGTGTTTTGCATCCACTCACTGATCTGTTGGATACAGTGAAGGAGTGAGTCCACTGGTCCATGTTCTCCTGCAGTCAGTGAGACATAGATCTGAGTGTCGTCTGCATAGTTGTGATAGGACACTTTGTTTCTGCGTATTAACTGACCTAACGGCAGCATGTAGAGATTGAACAGAAGAGGTCCCAGGATCGACCCCTGTGGTACTCCACAGGTCAGGGCCATATGATCTGAGACACAGTTTCCAATCTCCACAATGTACTTCCTGTCCACAAGGTAAGACCTAAACCAACTTAGGGCGGTACCAGTCACATCTACTTGAAGCTTGTAACTGAAATCTACCTCATTGGGGCGTCTCTATCACTTTTACCATCAATCTGCATCTCAATCATTTGGTAGAGGCTTAATATTTAAAAAAAACTAGGGGTTAAAAAAAACGTGTTATCAGTGCTCCTACATCTTAGAAAGTAAAAAAAAAAAAAACATTTACATTGCTTTCTTCAAGAAGTAAATGGTTAAAGCCATACTACGCAGAATTGCCTTTTTAAGCTTTTGATAATGTTACATATCAGTAGGGCTGAAACAACTAATCGATTAATCGACGACTAATCGATTATTGAAATAGTCGACAACTATTTTAGTAATCAATTAATCGTTTTCTGGTTCACACGGACTCAAACAGAGCAAAAATGACATGAAAATGTAGTATTTTTGATTAAAACCGACTTTGTTTTTATAATTTCATGAACATCTGTCTGTCTCATCCAATCAGATAGCAGAATTAGCACAAAGAGCCTGTTACAAACATTTACTTTAAGTTTACGCCATCAATACGTCCTCGAGTGTTGCCACTTTAGCTTTTTGTGATGAAAAAATAATTTTTTTCTACACAATTCACAGCCAAGCGATTACTCGATTAATTGTAAAAATAATCGATAGATTAATCGATTACAAAATAATCGTTAGTTGCAGCTCTACATATCAGATTTAGATTTGTTTTTATATCGATCCAAGCTAAAAACCAGAACTCCTAGCACAAACACATAACCCCGCCCCTTTCTGTCTTGTAAAGCTCTGAGTCTTATAGTATGATGTTTATTGTACCACTGACATCTTGCTCAAAAGTATTGTCCATAAATTAGTTTTGGCAGTTTCTCAGGTGAAACAACATTCTTTACAATCACGTGTCTGTGTTCAATCAGCAGCTCCAAATCTAAGGTCATTGTGCTCGATAGGAAAAAGGTGCTGTGGCCTGTCCAGGTGCAGAGGTCCTTCGTCAAGTGGAGGAGTTCAAGTCTCTTGGGGTCTCGGGGTTCATGAGTGAGTGAAGGAGCGAGATGCGACCACTGTATTGGACTGTTGGGGTGAAGAGGGAGCAGCGTCTGCAGTCAGAGCTGTATCCCATAAAGCGGTAAATTGATGGATGGATGTCTGTTTTGGCAGTTTATCATTTTTAAATGTGTGCAGATATTTATTGTTGCTGATTTTTTTTTTTATATTGTAGTATTTTAACAGACAACTATTTATCTGATTGGTAAATTCAACAATCACACCCATTGGAAATTGGGGGACAGAAGATGATTTCATATCCAAGAGTATTGCAGTCTTATGGTGCGTTCAGACCAAACGCGATTTCTGCGGCCAAAGCGGCGGGTCTACATTGACACAACATGGGGGACGCGCGCCAAGGAGCGGCGAGAGATCACGCGGCGCGATTCGCGCGGCCAGAGCGGCGCGAATTCGAGCGTTTCGCGCGATTCGCGCGGCGTGTTTTGAGATGTCAAGCGTTTTGACGCGCGTTTCGCGCGATTCGTGCCTCCAACGCGGCCGCCGCTAGAGTTGAACAATGTTGAACTTTTTGGGAGAATTCGCGTGTGCCGACCAATCAGGAGCTTTCTCCTCCAGTGACGTAGTGACGCATTTCACTACCGGAAAAACACTAGTAGATGACAGCTATGGAGGACACGTCAATTGCTCAGGTCGGTGCTCATTCTGAGCTATATAACACTGCGGACATCAGCTACCGGGACCGAAATAAAAAGGAGCTTGCTTGGAGGAGGGTTAGCGAGGTGGTTGGTGTCTCGGGTAAGTTATTTTAACTTTTCAATGTTGTAAATATTTCCCCGCGAAAAAAACTACTACTTTCCTGCTTACGAGTTGATGTGTTTATTCAGTGGAAGTTTGCAAAAAGCGGTGGAAGAACCTGAGGGACACATATGCTAAGGAGAGCAGGAAGGAGAAGGTGAAGAAGAGTGTAGCAGAAGCAGGGAAAGGCCAGACGTGGAAGTACCTTGTGGTCATGTCCTTCCTCGAGCCCTACATCACTCCCCGTGACAGCTCCGGGAACATGCCAAGGCGAAGGGCCGAGGAGGAGCAGACCACAGGGTACAACCACCCAGAAGAAGAGCCAGAGGAAGCAGCAGCAGCAGGGCTGTCAGGTGCTGAAGGTCGGTGTCATGCAGCAAACAGAGACCTCCAACAGTTGGAAAAAATACATTTCTTTCCTTTCTATTACCCACATTTTGCTGACTTTTACATTTATATTGCTTTCTGTGTATGCATTTCTTTTAATGATTTCTTAACATCATGGCCAGGTGAAAATAGGCATTGGCTATTTTCAAACCAGGATAGATCTTGATCATGTGTTGTGTTAAATTTCACTTTTCCCTTTTATATGAACAAATCATTTAAATGTACATAATAATGTACAATATTATGTACATATAAATGTCATAAGCGCAATGTACACATGATATGAAATAATTGTATTTCTTGTTTTCTTCTGGCACAGACACTGCCACCACCACACAAGGGGAGACATCTTGGCCTGAGCTGCCTGAGCTGCTGCTGCTGCTGCTGCTGCTTCCTCAGCCGGTTCTTCTTCTGTGAGGGCTGGACCTTCCCCTGCTTCTGCACCTACAGGTGTGGCTTTTTTTAATCATTGTTTTATTTTTATTCTTTTTACAGGACTGTTCATATAAACAAAATGTTACTGCATAATATGCCAAAATTACCCAAGGGCTGTTACATCAGTGTAGACGACAAATTTACAGAGAAACACCAAGATGTCAAGGCACTACAGGTGGAAAGAAGCTTTGGTCTGATACAACACATCTTCCCTCTTTCTTCGATAAAAACATACTACTGAAATACCTTATGCTATAAAAGTACTGAACAAATACATGCAATGGTTGCCACAAGATGGCAGCTATCCTGTTTAATGCAGACAATAGAGTATTACTTTTTTACAGCCAATTTCAAATTTCATTGCGAAATACACTTCAGAGATATTAGTTTGTAACTGTCGAAATTTGTGCTTGTGTGAGTAATTTCATTGATAACTGCAATGTTCAAGTTAATTGTAACAAACACACAACTTAAAAGTGTTTTACATGTGTTTAACTATGTCTACACACTCTGGCTTTAATACAGATATTATTTGCTCTCTTCATTTTGCTTTTTTGAAATACATGTTCCACTTTTTAACACTGTGATTGCCCTGTGTTCTTTGTTGGCGGCTCTACGGACGTGGGCCTCTTCCGAGCCCTCTTCCTTGGTGGGCCTTCAGAGTGGGAGCGGGAGCTGCTGGAGACTCTACGGACCAAAGCAGCCGGACCGCCCGACTACTCAGAAGACCATCAGTTCCTGCTCTCTCTCTTTCCTCTCCTGCAAAGGGTGGCACCAGAGTCAAAAGAATTTGTGAAATTCAAAATGTACCAACTTTTATATGAAAGCAGCACCGTTCTGCTTAATTTGGAACCATTGGCCAGAACAGACAGTTTTTTGACCTAAGGTGACACCTTTTGCAGGGGAGGAAACAGACATGTGTCCCTTTCCTCTTCCACCGCACCTCCTCCAAGCAAGCTCCTTTTCATTTGTTTATATGTACATTTCATTTATTTTTCATTGTTTGTTACTTTTTTTATAAAGAAAATATTTTTCAAACCTCATGTGTTCTACTTCAAGCCAACCATTACTACCTTTCATATAATATTGACAGAAAATATTTGTACATTTACTTTTATAAGAGCTGACTGGGTTTTATAGAAGATGGAATAACGAACACTTAAAGAGCGATACAGTAGTTGACAGTATTTTTTATTCATTTCACCTTTTACTGTTTTAACAACCTTGTAATTATGGAAAAGCTTGAATGTGCATATGATTAACCTGAAGTTGGAGTGGAGTCGCAGTGGAGTCTGGCAGTCATTACCTAGAAACAGAAGGTATACAGGTGAATAGAATAGTGCAAATCAATATGGGTTTGGACTATGGCCAGATGTGGGTCAGTCTTGTGGTGGACATGACTACTCTGTGGGCTGCCACGGCAGTGCTCCCTCCTCACTGAAGTGGGCCATGAACACTTTCCTTATGTCCACTGCTGGCTTCCAGGCGGCCATCCGCTGCACGCCTGGAAGTGGTTCTTCACCGACAGCAGCTCCCCTCGGTGCAGGAACCTGCCCATCTCCAGCCATCCTCATGGCTGGAGATGGGCAGGGCGCATTAAATTGCAGCGCAGTGAAAAGGCCCCACGAACACATGGGGCTGGGGTCCTCTGTGGTCAGCTCCAGGTATGCACTGGTCAGGAGGCAGGTCGAGTGTGCCCTCGCGCAGAGCCTCACCAAAGGCAGAGTTGGACACGATGCCTCCATCGCTGGATCTGCCGTACCCTCCCACATCAATCACCCTGAACCTGTACTGGGCATCCACTACAGCCAGGAGCACAAGGGAATGGTGCCCCTTGTAATTAAAAAAACATGGACCCAGAGTTGGGGGGTGCCTTCACAGCCACATGCTTCCCATCAATGGCCCCACAGCACAGAGGGAAGTTCCATCGGACCTCCACTCCTCTGCTCCAGGCACAGCCATGAACTCCTCCACGAGGCAGTCCCAGATGGCTGCCACCACATCTGGGATGAGCATGGAGACGGTGGATATGCCCGCTCTGAAGCTCCCCGCAATGGTCCTGTAGGAGTCCCCAGTGGCAAGAAACCTGCAATTACAAAATGATATGAACATATTTATCACAATTACATTCATAACAATCACGTGACAAAACTTGTGTAGCATAAAATACGTTAAACTAGTAGACAGTAAACATCATAGACAGTAATCATAGACACCATATTGTTGCATAATACTGTTTTCTGAGCTATTACATTGTGGATTGTGATTGAAAAATGACAAACTTTGTAAGTATTTAGGAATTCCGAATGGGGTAAAAAACACTAACCGCAGACAGATGGACAGGCGCTCTTCAGCTGGAATAGAGCGCCTGTAGTTGGTGTCCTGGTAGGTGATCCTTGCGCCAATGCGGGTCAGTAGGTCGTCAAACTGGGCCAGGGAGAGACGAAAGTACCGCTGAAAGCGACCCTCATCCGAGCGCAGCTCCCGGAGCAAATGGTGAAACTCACCAAACTCCAACCGTCTACGGACTATCTGGTGAATCCAGACACGTCGTCGATTCGCCCTTTGACGACGTGTCTGGCTTTATTTATTAGATAGAGCCAAGCAACTCCTTCGCTGACATCCATTTTGGGAAGCTACAGGCAAAAGAGACAAGCCCCGCCCCTAGACGCTCTCAACGCTCTGTGACAGCGGCTGCCCTCTAGTGTCCTGGCCGCGCGGCCAAGTTTCTCTGTGACAGCGGCTGCCACAATTTGTCACAAGCGGCTCAAGCCGCGCGATATACGCGATTTGGCCGCAGAAATCGCGTTTGGTCTGAACGCACCATTAGATAGAAGACTTGGATCGTTATCAGTGAATTATGAGACACAAAATGCTAGATTGTAAGCTGACTGAGCTCCTTAGGAAACGGGCATCGATGGAACAGAATATGTCTATAGAGTTATCACAGAAGCATCACCTGTTGCTGGTTCAACACTGTTTCTTCCTGGGATGACCTTTAATTAAATCCAATAAAAGCTGCAGTGAACCAGGACTAAACCAAAGAACCTCTGAAGTACCTCGGAAAGATAGATAGATAGATAGATAGATATATACTTTATTGATCCCGAAGGAAATTGTGCACTCGTCCCTTGCTCGCAATCATACAGCAATACATACACAGGTAAGAATTATAGGATGCAAAAGTTAAAAACGAGACAATAAATACATTAAAAACAATAAAAACATTAAAAGAGAAGTTAAGGCACTGCAAAACAATTCTCAAGACACCCCACCCCCCTCCCTCCCCCCCCTGCTCCTCCCTGAAGTGGCTTTGTTATAGAGCCTGATGGCGTTGGGGACAAAAGAGTTTTTTAATCTGTCCCTGGAGCACCTCAGAGAGAGGAGTCTGGAGCTCATGGTGCTTCTCTGGCGGGAAAAAAATGAATTCAGTGGGTGGCTCTGGTTGGACAAGATCACCCTGATCTTGGAGAGCGTTCTTTGCTCTACCACCTCCTCCACTGAATCCAGACCCAGACCCACCACAGAGCCCGCCTTTCTAATGAGCCGGTTCAGCCTCTCAGTGTCCCTCTTTCGTGCACTGCCCCCCCAACAGACAACTGCATAGAAAAGGACACTAGACACAACAGACTGATAAAACATGTAGAGAAGCTTATCACAGACCCTGAAAGATGCCAATCGCCTCAAAAAGTACATCCTACTCTGCCCCTTCTTGTACACAGCGTCCATGTTGGCTGCCCAGCTCAGCTTGTTCTCCAGCTGCAGCCCCAGGTACTTATAGGTGGAAACCACTTCCACCGCAGTTCCCTCGATAATAATGGGCTGCAGAGAGGGTGGTGCCCGGCGAAAGTCCAGCACCACCTCCTTAGTTTTGGCTGAGTTTAAAAGAAGCTTGTTCTGCTGGCTCCACTCCACAAAGTTCTCAACCAAGCCTCTATACTCCCCTTCATCACCCCCCCTGACGCATGCCACGATTGCAGTGTCATCTGAGAACTTCTGCATGTGGCATGTCTCAGAGTTGTAGCAGAAGTCACTCGTATAGAGGGTGAAGAGGAGGGGCGAGAGCACAGTGCCCTGCGGTGCACCCGTGCTACAGGTCACTGTTGAGGACCTACAGCCTCCCCCCCCTCGCACGTACTGGGGCCTGTCGGTTAAATAATCCGTGACCCAACGCACAAGAAGAGGGTCCACATTCATGATGGTGAGCTTCTCCTGGAGAAGGATGGGATGGATGGTATTAAAAGCACTGGAGAAGTCAAAGAAAAGCATCCTCACAATGCACCCTCCCACATCCAGGTATGTGAGGGCACGATGTAGCAGGTAGAGGACTGCATCCTCGACCCCCACCCTCTCCTGGTAGGCGAACTGAAGAGGATCCCTCGTCGTCTCCACTTGGGGCCGCATGATCTGCAGGACCAGTCGCTCAAAAGTTTTCATCACATGTGATGTAAGAGCGACTGGCCTATAGTCATTAAGCACCAGAGGGCGTCCCTTCTTGGGGACCGGGACGATGCAAGACGTCTTCCATAGAGAAGGGACTCTCCCGCGCCGCAAACTTAGGTTGAAGACCTGCTGTAGGGGGTCTCCCAGCTCAGCAGCGCACGTTCTCAGTAGCCTAGGACAGACCCTGTCAGGACCAGCAGCTTTCCTTGGGCGTATGAGTTGCAGCTGCCTCGTCACCTGGTCTGCTGTGATGGTAACAGGAGTTGAGGTGTGTGTGACAGGCACCTGAGGGAGCGTAAAAGAGGCAAGAGGATGAGCAGCGTGATGAATATCATCAGAGGAAATAGGGAAGGGCTGTGGGGGCAGGCAGGTGGTCTGGGAGGAACTGAAACGATTGAAAAATGTATTCAGCTGCTCCACTTTCTGTAGATCCATACAGTCCACCTTGCTCTTACTGCCACAGCCTGTTATGGTTTTCATTCCACTCCAAACCTCCCGCATGTTGTTATCTCTCAACTTTCTCTCCAGCTTCCTTCTATAAGACTCCTTAGCGTCCCTCAGGCAGATTCTAACTTCCCTCTGTACCTCTCTTATCTTCTCACAATCCCCGCTTCCAAAAACCCTCTTTTTCTTATTCAGAACGTTCTTCACCTCAGCGGTAATCCATGGTTTATTGTTCTCAAAGCACTGGATTGTTCTAACAGGTAACACCTGATCCATGCAAAAGTTCAAATAATCAGTCAGGCACCCCACTGCCCCCTCAATGTCCTCACCATGAGACCCCACCAGTACACTCCAGTCTGTGGTGGAAAAACAGTCTCTGAGTGCATCCTCAGCTTCAGAAGACCACCTCCTGACTTGCCTAGTTGTTACAACTTGTCTCTTCACCACAGGGGTGTATGTGGGCTGCAGGTAGACAAGGTTATGGTCGGATTTGCCCAGAGGAGGGAGGGGAGAAGCTGAGTATGCATCCTTAGTGTTTGCATATAACAGATCTAATGTCCTATTTTTCCTTGTGGTACAGTTGACATATTGATGGAAGGAGGCTAGAGTAGTGTCCAAAGTGACATGGTTAAAATCACCAGATATGAGGAGAAATGCTTCGGGATGCTGGGACTGAAGTGCCGCAATGTTGTTGTGTATGGACTCACGTGCTGTCTCTGCATCAGCCCTGGGAGGTATGTAAACACAGAGCGCGATGACGTGTGAAAACTCACGTGGAACATAATACGGCCGGAGGCTAACAGCTAGCAGCTCCAAGTCCTGGTTGCATATCACAGATTTCACAGTCAGATGGTTCGGATGGCACCACCGCTTGTTTGCATACAGGATAAGGCCCCCGCCTTTGCTTTTCCCGCTAGATCTAGGATCCCGGTCTGCCCGCACGGTGGAAAAGCCGGGCAGGTCTACGTTAGCGTCGGGTACGTGGCTAGTTAGCCATGTCTCACTGAAGATGAGTAGGCTGCTCTCTCTGTAGCTCCTTTGGCTCCCGATCAGCGCGGTAAGTTCATCCAGCTTATTAGATAGGGCATTAACATTCCCCATGACAACAGAGGGAATGGGTGGCTTAAAAATCCTCCGTTTGGCAATATTAGCCTTGATTTTATCCTTCAGTTTACGACCGGCACGGCAGCCCCGGTACTTTCGCCTTAGCTCCAGTGGAATCATATGGCGTAAAGTAGTCTTGGTATTGTCTCTTAGTGCCAGTAACTTCTCTCTTGAGTACATTAGTCTATCTATGCCAGCTGGCATAGTGAGACGTAAAGAGAAGTATGTCAAACCAAACACAAAAGTTTCAAAAACACACGGTCGAGCAAACAGACGTGCAGCCCCCCTCCGCGCAGGCGCATTCAAGTGATAGAAGAATGGAAGCAGAGATAGACCAAACACACAGACCATATGTTTGTATATTGTTGTATATTTGTTCTGCTAAAAATGGAATAAAAAGGGATGTTATCTTGTTATAACAACAACACCTCACTCCCTCCTTAAGAAAGAGTGGTGAGGGAGGGATGAGACAATATTTTCACAAGTGGATTTTCACAATACTTTTTACAGTGGAAATTTGTACTATTATTTTGTTAAAATGTACGACTTTAAAGGCATAACTTATTTCTTTCCAATTTTTTTTTTTTTACAATTTTGACCACAACATTTTGACCAATCTTGTCCCAAAATCTGTTGTGTTTTGGGACAACAGATTCTCAAAGGTAAACCTATTTTCCTCCCAATCAAATTGGTCAAACACACAAAAAATTATACTGCTTCCAAACTATTTTTTAATTTATCTATGTTGTTTGCACTAAAACAAATCCAGGAACATAACATACCATTGTGGACAGAAAAAAAATTCGGTAGATTAGCGTCCGATCGGCTGCTTTCTATATCAATAAAACAACGTGTATTTTTGGAAGGGGGGGGCGGGTACCTGAAATTTGGAGCAGAGGCCCATTCCAGAGCGAGACAGGCCAGGTCCACAGCCGCGTACACCAGCAGGAAGAAGATGGTCACGATGCTGGCGATGGTGTTCAGCTTTCCAGAGAAGAGCACCAGCTGCAAAATTTGAAAAATATATATACTGTATATATTGAGAGTAGACAAATGACAAAAATTGCTCCCAAAAAAATCTGTTTTTTGTTGTTGTGGTATATATTATAACAACAAGAGCTCACTCCCTCCCTAAGAAACAGTATGATTAGCATGGGATGAAGAAAAGCCACAATATTGGGTACACAAAACTAAGAGAATGTGATATTTTGGAGCGGGAATCTATACGATTGTCAGTAGTATTAGTAAAAGTTTATCTCAAAAGCTATATTTTCAAACAAGATACAGAAGAACAATTGGAAAAATGCAGTTTGAAAAGGGTTTGGACGAAGGAAACATTTTTTGGGTTGCAACCTCGCTCACCTACTCACACAAAGCACACACACACACACACACAATGCACAGTCCCAAAACACTCTCTGACCATTCACCTTCCCTCTAATCGCTTCAGGTTAAGGAAATCACACACTCCTTCTGTACTCCATTTTAATGCACTAATTATAATACTTTATATCTATATAATTGAAAGAGTAGAAAAACAAGTTGCCCGGTGATTAAAAAACACATATTATTACAATACAAAATGGAACAATAGCTTTCTACAAACAATCCAGAACAACAGTTTATAGAAATGAAATAATATAAATCTTCCTAATTATTCGGTAATGGCCAAAGTTCAGGATACATCAGGACTTGTAAACAATGAACAATGTGGCTGATGAAGGTCAAATGCTGCAGAATTCTCGCTGGTCCCGTTCGGAAAACTGATTATTCGAACTACAATTACAGCTCTCAGGCTTTGGAGGGGACAGCGGGGGGTCCCAGAGGCGGCAACTGGGGAGCCGCTAATGCTAATCGTCGCTAACTCTCAAGCCTTAATTAAGATTGATATCTGAGCCGCCGCCGTGACAACATGACCCATTTTAGCCACATTCGAGTACTCAGGGGGAGATTTAAGAGCCATTCATTCCACCTGACGGCAAGGAACACTTCGAATGTCAAAAAGTATTACTCCTATATGCATTTCTGACTTGTTCGGAGAAATATACAGGAGCACAGTTTGAATCAGCAGTTTAATAGGAAGTAATAATAAGTAATAGTAAGTAATAATCCTGTTCACTTTTGAATGCGCTGGAAACGGCAGCAAGTCCTAAGTAGCTCTGAAACAGTTGTTGTTTTGTGTTTTACAATTGTTATTTTTCTTACTTTTTTCTACCGGAAATGTTGCTACAGTACAGTGTTCATGGTTTAACACTGGTCCGGACCAGAGATGAGAGGATTCATGGTCGGGGCCAAGTGGATCAGGTGAAAATCCACTGGAGGAATGCTAACTTTCTGAAAAATGCTAATGAGGCATTCAGCATTTTACTTTGGGCTAGAGCAGAGAAAAATGGTCCGAACCAAGCGGCTGCTCCACCTCTGCTGCTGTGACCTGAAGTGCTGTTGCTTATTATTACAATTGTTAGCTTTATAGAAGTATCAATTTATTTGTTTTGTTTGTGTGGATGGATGTGTTTTTGCTGCTACTGGACACCTGAATTTCTTCTACGGGGATCAATAAAGAAACTAACTAATACTGTACACGAGCGAGATGTATTTGATTTCGAATGGTATACATTGTTTGGAATGGAAGTTTTTGGGATTTTTTTCCAGCCAAATTATTACTGTGGAGAAGCTGTTTTTCTTAGTGAGTTAGTAAATTAGATACAACACCCAAGAAGCTCTCATATTGAAAAATATACTATTTTAAAGATTCAAAGGGGTTTCGTTAGCTTCAAGATGGAACAAAAATGCCTAAACAATTTCATAATGAAAATTTTGTAAATTAGGAGTTTGCCATCTGAAAGTGAAATTGAACCAAAAAATTTCTAATGTAACCTCTTATTTATTAAAAACTATCATACTCCAAATTACAGCATTTATTACATAGCATTACAAATATAATAGAGTAGATTACATTATATTGAACTAGAATTCCATAAAACACAAACAGTTATGTCCCATGAATGATACCTCAGTCGTAAAAATAAATTATACTAAATAACTATATACTATATATTAATTCTTTTCTCATTTTTTTTTCGTCTTCAGGTTTTTGTTTGTGACATTTTTTATAATTGTCTTTCAGTGTAGACCCAGAAAACTCTACATACAAAAAACTAACACAATTTCAAACTTTCTGGACTGGATTCGGATTCTCTCTGCTGAAATGATCCGGAAGTCCATCCTATTGTTGAACCGGTCTAACCCTGCAGGGCTAGGGCACGAGAGACTTTTAATATAGTGTTGGAATGATTTAAACCCCCATATAAGAACGCTCGATGCCAGTTCTGTGACAACCTGCACCAGTGAGGTACCAGCTGCCATCCTTTTTTCAATCACATTTGACTCCGTTTGGGTTTATCCACCTGGCTCTGGAGTCCAGCAGTGGTGCTCTATGTCATTCCAAGATTTGTAGTGTAGATCGTTAGCATAAGTCTGAATCAATCTTGTTAAAAATCACAAAATGGTGGAATATTCTATTAATATATGGATACAGGGGAATTAAAATCAAAAAAAATGCTATTCCTCACACATCAGTAGAAAGGCTTAAAGAACCTATACTCGATTGCTATTACTACATACACAAATGTATTCATAATCCTAATCTAATTGATAATTTGAGCTCATTATTCTAGCCTCTCTCCAAACCCTTTGGTAATTCCGCCAGGCCCACAAGGCGTTTAGCCTGAACCACATGGTCTGGATCGACTCCCATAGGCGAAACGCCTTCCCCAATTATTTTTTAATCGACCAATTAATTGCCAATGAGAATCTTCTCAAGCTCTCTCATCACACAGAGGAATCCAAGATGGTGAGACGTAAAGTCCGCGAATCTTTTTAAAAAGAGTAAATACGATCGAATTAAGACACGGAATGTCACTTTTAATCAATTTGAGGCCGAGATGTTGAAGGTTCTATGTGATTATATGTGTGTTTTAAGAGTCACATGTTCCTAGTAAAAAAAGTTTAGTTGAAAGCACTGTTCAGTGTCCTGATTTACACACTCTTGCAAGCAGGTTGCCAGTTTGGTGTTCCCGCATATTTTTTCCAAGAACTTGTAAGGTATTAAAAAATAACAAAAGACAATAAACACAATCATGATAGCCCATTATTTACATTAACGTTTTTAGCCAAAAAATCATACTGATGTTTTATATTTTTGGGTATTGTCAGGATTTTGGGTTGGAAAATCTTTGCTGGATTTGCAACCTATAGACCGTGTCTTCGTGTGAGTGTTGAAAGCAGACTTAAATTCCAGAACGGACAAGTGTCCTATCCAATCACATACAAGGATTTTTTTTTTTACCAATCCTCCTTCTGAAATCCAACCACTATGGGTTCATACCAGACTCATGTTGAATGTGCAGCGAACATCACATGGGTCTGCTAGAGTCAGGCTACAATTGATTCCCTGTGTATGATTCAGGCCGAATAAAAGTGCTGAGTAGAGACTAGCGGCCCGATCATCGTGCCCCCTCAGAACAAGCGCGCTCATAGTCTCTACAGCGCTGTAAACCCAGAAGCATGTACATAAGTGGCTATAACCCTCTGGCGCTTAACTGCAACTCAGAAACACAGCCCCGAACGACACAACAGTGAGAGGAAGAGAAGAGGAACTAAAGCGAGAAAATGAGCTAAGAAGAAACCAAGCCGGTAACATACTAGCTACATCATATCCTCTTGAGAGACTTGTTGGAGCGGGACCGTCTCGGATTTATCAACGCACGACTACATTCGACGCAAAACTAGCGTAATCTTTCAGTAATATGCTTTTATTAGCATGCGTTCTTTTGTACCATTTCATCAGTATTGTTGTACAGCTTAAGTTGCGCTAATGCTAATTTACATCAGATTGCAATATACAACCTAGGGCTCCGCTTATGGAAAAAAAGCCGTAGTGATTGGAGGCCGTGGCTAAACAAGCAAACCTTGCAGAAAACGAATATAGCTCCATAATAAGGATCGATATAAGTACTGTCAGTACTATATTGGCCCTATTTGAGCAATGTGTGTTAACTTTCTATTTAGTTTAGTGTGTATTTTGTATGTAGTATTTGTTGATGTATAGTTTCCGGTTTTTTCTTATTTTATTTTTTTTGGAATAAAATAACGTTACATCAAAAAGTAAAATGCAATAGAGTAATTTGCAATCACCGATTCTGATGTCCATGCACATCATCTAATATTTTTAATAGATCATTGGGAGTTATATTGATCAAAAAAACATGTCCTTTAAACAGCCCACATATGATAGAGTTGCTAGAATGTTTCTCTCCGTTTCACCAACCACTAGAATACTTGTGCAATAATCCCCTGGTAACCATCTCTGTACCAAAGTATTTGTAAAAGTAATGAATCCATCGAGTTGGTGAAAAATGTGCCTATTGGCCTTCACCGCAGCTAGCGTGTTACAACTGTCGCTGTATACATGTCGATGGTGTAATGCGCAGGTTTTCCCAGGTTAGCTTTCGCTACCCAACACCACTAAAACATAACATAATGGCATGCATTTTATTCAACTATCTGTTCATTATCTTCAAACCAGTCTACAAATCGACAGCAGGATAAATGGCTCAAACCAGACAGATAAGACAGTCTTATTAAAGAGGTAAAAAATGTCCCCGCTCAAATATCCC